AAACCGCCATTAGCATCACGTGACCACTGTTGTAATAAGACCCAGGTAAAACCGCCATTAACATCACGTGACTACTGTTGTAATAAGACCCAGGTAAACCGCCATTAGCATCACGTGACCACTGTTGTAATAAGACCCAGGTAAAACCGCCATTAACATCACGTGACTACTGTTGTAATAAGACCCAGGTAAAACCGTCATTAGCATCACGTGACCACTGTTCTATTCTTTGTCTTTCAGACGGCATTCCAAGGCCTAAACCCATTCCCCATGCAGAAAATAAGAATCAAGAGAAGGTTGTATATGGGTATAGTCCAGGTAAAAAACGTTGATTGTATAATTGACTGACTTATGGTCTGACTAGTAAATTTGATTGAAAGACCGATTGATTCATTGATGTACAAATTGATTTTTTTGTCAGGCTGAACTGGATGAGCTGGATCAACTACGCGACAGTTACATCCACGAAAGAGATGATAACGAAACACGAGAGGTCCTCAGTGATTCAGAGATTCATGGAGATGATTGAAAGAATTGGCTAGTACTTAATCATCAATATGACTTTAGATTTAACAATGCTTTTGCACTTTTTGTAGGTGTAAGCTACTTGTCAAATGATGTAATTATAAAATTTATATTGATATACTGTACATACTTTATACCACGAAGAAAATCAGAAATATTATTATTTAATTAATAAATCTACCAAAGGCAACACAGTCTGTCCTTGTTTTTGCAAAGTTTCTAATGGACGTTGAATAGCTTTTGATGCGAATCTTCCATTTTTGGTTTCGTCGTCTGTAAGCGGTAACACAAGGGTTGCAATAATCGACGAACGCGTCACCGTACACATTTCTACTCAAAACTTCTGAGCAGATCATTTGAAATGCGTGTCGACGTTTATTATTTCCCATTCCCTCTCGGTCACTGATATCCCCAGGTAATGTACSTGCTACTCAGAAACATTGTAATAAAACACGCATTTTGCCTCGCTCTCTAATGCATCCTAAAACCAATTTCACCATTAAAAGAGAAACGAAAAAAAAAAACGAGGCTGGGCAGCACAAGAATACTAAAGTTTCGAGATCACGTGATGCAGGCTTAACATCATAAAAACAGATCCTATTGTAATGAACGCTCTGTGTACCAACAAGACAATAATAATTTATGCTTGATTGAAGCTTGCACAAAAGCGAATCGAAACTAGAGTATTCAACGTTAAAATGGTCGCCCATTGGTACTACAGTAATTAACCCGTAAAAAAAATCAATGAAGTCATACTAACGAATAGTTTGTATCGTTAGTATGTTTCACGGGTTAACTATYTTCACCCAAGAATGCATAAATTACTCTGATAAACTGTGTTTTTTTGACAAGTCTTSTCTCTTCCTAGACCCTAGAMTAGGTTTAAATCATTCAATGTCTGTTAACGACGGTTGTCATGTAACAATGGTGATACCGTAGCTATGGCGATACGGTGGTAAAACTGTCTCTTTTGTTTCCATTCACACGTCTGTTTGTCTTYTTTCCACGGTTTCTCTTCTTTTTCTTCTCGGCTTTACTTTTACTTTTTTCGGCCTTCTTAACGTTGGTTGTTGGAGTTGGAGCAAGTCCGTCTTTTTTCTGTTTTCCTCGCTTTTTTTTCTCAATTTTCCCTTTTTCAGTCAACATTTCTTTATTTGTATTTTTATTTGCTTCTTTGTTAGACTGTCCATCACTTTTGTCGACAATCTTTTCCAACAATTTGGTGGGTTTGGGGGTTGTTTCGGTATAGCTTGTATCTTGCAGCTTTGTTGGTGATTGTGTTGTTGTTGGTTTCTTGTCCGTAATCTTTGTCTTCGTAACCGGTTTACTGGTGCTATTGACAGACTGGTCAGGTTTTTTGTATGGTTTTCCATGATATTGAGTACAACTATGAGACCCTTTACAGCCTTTTAGTCTTTCTAATTGATGGTGGAGATCGTACAAGACTGAAGGACTAATACGATCGACTATATTGTAAAGCTGTAGAAAGAAACACACAATATATGATGACATACGCTTATAGACATATACACCAATGCATCAGTCAATTGAAACAACGTCCCAACCAAATTACCTGGTAAGGATCAGTATTCAGATCAAAGTATTCCAGAAACTGTGTAATATATTCACAATACAAGAAGTTCTGATGTTGATTGATGGTTCGCAGACACCAGTATGTATTGTTACTTGAGCTTGGACAAAAACAGAACTCTCCTCCTGAGGGGCAAACAGAAGAGACGGTTATGATAGTGGTACACACGRTAGAGGGTAATACATTGATATAACTAGTTTTATATGGAAAGTTATAATGATTTGACACGGTTGTTCATGACGCGAAAGATTATAATGATGACGTCATTATTAAGATGGCGTCTTGATAATAATGATGACATGGATCATCAACACGATAGCGACATGTGAAGATAACAAATGAGTTGACAAACCATTCCACAATGGCGGTGTTTTCCAATGATAGTTGGTCTGGTAAAAGCAGCTCATCCCCGGAACAGAACATTTGGTTCGCCTGGACTTCTTTTTAGTGGTCTTTTTTCTTCTCTTGCCAGAACGAAGACTTGACTTTAAACTGTTCTTTTTCTTATTTCTTCTTTGTAGTCGCTTCTTATAGACCTCTGAATTGATAGCGCCTGACCTCAGTCTTCGACGTAATCTTCCTGCCTTGCTACCACCTCTTGGTCTCCTTGACTTTGCAGGCTGTGATGGGGTAGGACATGGGCATGGAAACTCTTCGTACTTTTGTTTTAAGTAATTCTCTGTATCTTTTTCTTCTTTGATTCTTATCAACTTCTTCTTCCTTCCTCTAAGTGCTTCTAAACGAAACTTGATGCCAGCAATCTTTGCATTTATACGTTCTAGTCTCTTGTCAATCTCGACATCGCCATTTTCTTCTAATGGCTTCATGTTCATCATTTTAGCTTTTCGACGTCGTGCAGCCATCTTCATTGCACGAGACACTTCCTTGTAGTAGTTGCTTTGCTTGTGAGCTCGTCGTTGTTGTGAACGCAATGAACGTTTTTGCAACTTTTCCTTGTTGTTTTCGTCATCTGAAAAAGACGCATATGCTAGTCTTTATGAATGATGACGTCATTAAAGCGTTGTTGTGGTAACTTACCACGTGGTGGTTGTTCCTTAGTTGGTTTCACCCATGGTAGTCTAGGCCGATAGCACGTGCACATTTCTACGGTGGGCGTGGTTGGATGTACTGGTAATTGCTCTATTTTCTTACATTTCTTCAATCTCAGACGGCCTTTTATTTTGATACAGTGCCATTGTTGTCCTGCTACACAGGGTGACCGATACTTGGATTCTGCGCATAATCGTTCGAGGAACGTGGCTTTTGCTGATTTTGGCTGCTTTTTTGTTACACGATGCTTGTTACCTCGCCTGGGTTTTCTACAAGAGAAGTAGATCTACATTATGTATATTGATGTATTAATTAGTTAGTTGAGAGTACTCTTACCCTCGTGTTATAAGAAAAGTGTCCCTCCATCGATGGCTGATCTTTCTAAAATGTAAAAATACAGACACTCCTGTACCCACCGTTAACCAAAAGATCCATGCAAACAGCAATCTCAATTATCTTACCTTCGTACACGTGGCTGGTCATTGGGCTTTCTAAGTCGCCTGGTAAAGAGCTTCATCACGGATACTCCATCCATTGTTCGTGGTGTCTTGATACCAGCAATGTCCAGGAAGGTTGGTGCCAGGTCGATGTTGAGAACCACTTGTTGAATTCTAGGAATTATAAAACATCATTAGTAAATGCCTGTCCTTAAATCACTGTTTGGATGAAGCGTTGAGTACTATGTTTCTTACTTGGCATTTCTGGGTATATTTGGTCCTCGGGCATAAAATGGTACACGTATGTCGCTCTCATATGGCATCGATTTCCCTTTGACAAGACCAAACTGGCCAAGATGGTAGCCATGATCAGATGACAAAAAGATATAAGTATTGTCCAGTGTTCCTGTTTCTTTCAGCATGTTATACACCCGTTGTATGGAGGCGTCCACGGATAACAGTGTTTGTAGACGTTTGCGATACAGCAGATCAGAGAACGCAATCTTTTGTTGATCCATCTTAGGCGTTACACGCAAGATCCAGTGTTTGTCCAACGATATGTAGTTCCAGTTTGGAGTCCTGGATTAGTAACAATTGACAACATTTATACAAAACTACGAAAATAACCGCGGTCAATTAACACAGGTAATCCATAACAAGGGAACGACTTTCTATGAGCATGTGAGATAAATACTCAGGTACTTTCATTATTACATAATTACGAACTGCGTACAACACGGGACAATATACCGTTGCATTAAAACGGACTGCAATCATTATATACTCGGTTACATACCTTGGTGCGGTGATATTTTTAAATGCAGCTTGATACTGAGGAGCCGCATCTTCAGGTCCATGAGGAGCCGAGTGACTGATAACCATCAACACCGGTCTGTTAGGATTTCGCGCTTTGGCTCTACGGAAAAACGCAAGGCTGTGGTTGGTGATGACGTCAGTGAAATAATCTTTACCGTAGTTGTTTCTATGACGACGGAAAAAGGTATTGTGACGTAACGTGTAGTTGTAGAATCGTGAATTCCGTACTAAACCAATCCATTGATGCCAGCCGGCGGGAATGTATGAGCCGTCGTACTCGTTTAGATATTTACCAAAATGACCTGAAAGTAGAAAAATAACCTTCATTTCCCGTCTAGAACCTGCACAGCATTGTTTATGTATGCACATTTTGGTTTTTCGTTGACATTAATGTGCGTCTATGTCTTGTGGTTTGGCACGTCTAGTTCAGTTCACCGGTTTTGCGCGTCTGGATGTTTAGCGGTTTTGCGCGTCTGGGTGTTAGCGGTGTTGGGCATCTGGATGTTAGCGGTTTGACGCGTCTGGATTTTCAGCATCTTAGGCGGGTTTAACTGTCTCCACGAACTCCAATTGAAGGGAATTCATGCCATCAACAAAGGAAACCCAACCAGCATAGTATAAGGTCACTTTCTAATTTACATAACAGACAGACACAAAGTTCAAGTTCAGCGTTTTCATCATTTTGTCAACTGGTATCGTTTTCCATGGCTGAAATAATTTCATCAACACTAGTATCGTTTTATATACATATCCACTGATCCACCCAAACACTCTTAATTAGTTATTCCTATTTCAATGCGAGTGCCCAATAACAAGAGATGTATAAACACTTTGTTTAATCTATACTGACCCGTTAAGTATCCAGCATCCGCCAGGTATCTCGCGTAACTTTGTCGTTCTGGCCCTACTCGCCAATTCATTGATGAACAGTTCATGTTGTTTGTAAGAGTGTTGTGGTTATGAGTGTACATCCCRGTCAAGATCGATGATCGTGAGGGGCAGCATATTGGCGAAGTAACAAACGCATTGACGAACTCAGCGCCCTCGCTGAAAATCTGTCTTGTTCGATTCATGACCCGCATAGATCCCAGCTCGACATCTTGGTCGTCAGTCATTATGAAGATGATATTGGGCTTCAATCGTTTCTTGGCCATTGCAGAATTGACGAACACAAAAATTGCAAAAGACCAAAAGAACTTCATTATGTTACTCGCGCTCAGCCAACTGTGGAGACGATGGATTTAATGTTAATTTGAATGATAATAATCCGTAATAAAGGCAKATAGAATTAACTAATAGTTCGTGACTGTTTGATGCGGATAGTTATTTGACTTGAAAGTTTGCCAGATTGAATACTTACTCAAAACCCAACCAGTATAACAAGAAAAATATAATTTAGGAACCTCTTAACTCCCTACTAACTTAGGATTCATCTCGTGAAAAGGCTGGCTTGGTTTCAAGTCCTTAGGGAACGTGATAGTCTGTCGATGTCCTGAACAGTGACGTAAAAAGTAGGAACTTTGCTTTGACAAGCTTTTGTTGCAAAGGAAGTCCAACCAAGTGATGATATCCACGAGAATTACCGCTGGCTGATTACAATCAAATGTCCTTGCATGGTTTTTGGCATCAGGGGCAGGAATGACTTCAGGCTATATTTGGAAAATAGGAAGGATACGTTTTCTTTATCACCGACTGCACCACTTGTTGTATCGAATCTCATGTCACGTCACAAACGATAACAACAATAAACTATCTGCCGTCTGCTTGGAAAAGAATAGAAGGAACAGGAAGCGTGCGGGGATATAGAAGATGACCAATTACTGGGTACGAAAACATCCGACACTGATTGTCTGACTCTAAAAGTGAGCGGAGTTTCCTAGTTTAAAMGAAAATGAGCAAACAAGACTTTTACGGCTCCTTTTCACAATTTACTTTATGCTCGTATTTGGAAGTCGTTTGTTATTTACATAATCACATATCTCTGCATTGATGGCAGGCGTTGGCTAACAAAATATTCACAGTTCCTATTCCACAATTATCGATATCCGGTATTTATCGCTACTTGCCTGAATGATCAATGGCTTGATAAGCAGATTAACAACACTAATATGTTGTTGTTTTAAGTGCATTTGTATTGCAAATTCCATGACGAACGCCTTTGTATTCCGATGAAAGGTACTCAACTGTATGAGAAGTAATGTAATGTAGCCAGGGCTGCTATATACGTATTTTGTTGTTTGTTTGTATAATGTTTCTACATTTTGCTGATCATACAACGCAAGTTGTATTCTCTTTAACACCATCTACATGGATTACAGCAATAGCCCTCGTCATGTAAAACTTAGCTAATCGACATACTATGCTCAATGGTAGACATCGAGACAATAAAGGATGGCTTACCAATTAAAATATCATGTAAAATATTATGATGAGCGCAGGGAGTTCTTGAGCTCTATTACGACCAACCAGTGCTTTATTTCGGTCTCATTGGATTAAATASAGCTAGRTATCAAGCCAGCTGAATGGGCTAATAACAATATTCACATTTTCTTTATCGATCAGGTGCACACAATGAGATGTTCAAATGGGAAACCACAAATTCACGCAAAAGAAAACATGGAATTTTTTAAGGAGTCAAAAGAGTGTCTTTTAAGATAAACTATTTTATGCTTGTCCTATGAAAATTACTCGAATGTAATTGAATGAAATCATATATCAATATTGCCATCCAGAATTCCCGACGATCCGTTGGGTGATTAAATTGGCGAATAGATGAAACGGGAGGTGATCAAGACCTAACCCTAGGGCGCCATTATAGATTCGTTTATCAAGTTATCGTTCCTGATTAAAAAACTAAAAACAAGAGAAAAGAAAGAAAGAAATCATTCACAGTAGCACATGGAAGAAAGAAACACAAAACAAGAATATTTTACCGAAAGCAGCTGTCCAATTATGCACAGCGGCGGCTTACTGTACAAAAAGAAACATTATCCAAAAAAATATATTCAGTTTCCACTTTATAAGGAAGAAACCTCTTTATTTTAACCAATTTGTTGGCTACTTCCCTTAGGCGGATAAATACTCAGTAGAATCATTACYAAACTGACATCTGATTGGTCAATTCAAGTCGTTACGTCACCCTACAGAGGTTTTCGTATTTTATCCATCATTCAATCCTCGTTTTATTGCACCAATGCGATTACGAACCTGTAATAACTTATTTTTGCTTGGCGTGTTTGTTGGCTACTTAATAAAACCACAAAAAAAACTTCTAAATTCACCGAAGATAACGGCGGTCAAACCATTCGACAATTTTTTTTCCTTTAATTTATTCATTCAAAATGTCAGTATCATCTCTTTTTAATAAAATGTGAAAAGCTTTGCTGCCAATGACTGGAAAAGGAAATGTTTTGTCGATGTCTTGTCATAAGGAGATTTCAAGGTTACGAAAAGATACAACTGTATGTACATTTTACATGTGAATTTGGTGGTATTTCGTATAACACGATCATGTACTTACTCTTATTAATAGTTTCCATTCTTTGAAAGATGCGTCGTTTGACGATGCTCACAGAGTTTCCTGACTCACGTCGATCTTGAACGGCGGGACTTCYCTACGACCTACCGACAACAAGACTTCTAAATGTTGACTGGCGTTTTGAAGCGGTATTTTCYCTCTTAATCTAGTTTTGCAATTATGTATTGATGAATTCAGAAGCCGTTATGAGACTTCTGAATAATGTCGGGAAAATATCACAGTATGAGATTGAAAACCGATTGAAAAGTAAAAATGGATCAAATAATATCGTGACTGAAACCTCTTAGTCCGACGAGAGAGTAAGTAGCAATTGGTGGATTTGCATCATTAAAAATGAAACATATACCTCACGACGTCAAATATAAGTTATCCATTCAGAATCTATTTGCTTTCATTTATCCATTCAGTGCTTGATTTTTCTTTTTAACGCTTTGAAATGTTTATTTTAGAATTAACCATTTGAAAGCTTTCAATATTAGATAATCAATTATTTGAGAAGTCTTAACGCCCAAATAATAAATATTTTGAATAATTCAGATACCGAATAATCAAATTTCAATATTTTTAACAGGAAAATGGGTTTCCTGTGGCGTTAAAATCTCCAACGCAGTTGGTTGTCACCAATTCATTAGGCTCGTGTTAATTTAAGACGTCTGACATTTATAGAAAAAAATTAACCGTTATTTTTGAAGTTCAGAAAATCTTGACCGAATAAAGAAAGAACCAACCAGCATTTTGATTAATACATACAATGACAAAGAAGTGTGTTAAACTCCAACAATAATAACTCCCCGTATCGCCGAGTTTATTTATTCATAATTAACCTCATAACATATTTATTGCTATCGTAGATGAGACACATCGATTAGTCTTGGGTTCAATTTTCCATAAAAATCTCCTAGGGTTGCTGCTTGAGTTGAATCCTGTGCCGTCATAGATTGAGMTATAGTATCACGTGATCGCAAGGAATGCACGGCCATCATCAAACCAAATTTGATGCACAATTCTGGGGCGTGGTCTTTAATGATTGACATTACCATGGCAGCAGCAAGGCTAAAGGACAGTTTTATGTAAAATCGATCAATTATGTGAATACATTGACGTCTTGAYCAGTGGCGATATTTAGTATAGACTAAATAACACTTACCTATCTCCTGCACCAGTAACATTGATAACATCGTCTACTTTAGGAGCTGGGTAGTGAACGGCTGACACCAAGTGATTATGTTTGCTTGGCAGATGTGAATTCCGAGATGTTGGGAAGGGATGGTCAGCGTTTGTGTTACGACAGACAAGAACGCCATGTTTGCCAAGTGTAATAATCAAACAATGAATACGAGTCAAGAGAGGTTGAGAAAATAGAATACACTCATCAATGATATTATCGATGGATGTTTCCCGTRGTTTCCAGTTATCAACCCGCGGATGTCGTGGTAGGTGATGAAATTGTACAACAGTGTCACTCATTGTACGAAGTTCATTCATGTTTGGCGAAGCGTATGTGATATCTTGCCAGGTATCTGTTTGGAAAGGCAGACCAGCCTTCATCATACATGTTGGTTCAAACCAGACTGCGAATAAAAGTACCAGGAATATAATTACACACAGGCGAAACTAGCGACTCGATTGTAGTAAGTAATTGGAGGATTACCTGGCACACCATGGTGGGAACAAAGAAGGATAACTTTTTCCATTGTTTCTTTACTAAGGTTTCCATCAAAAACAACCAATGGCGCATTTTTAATAGATTCCTCAAAACCTGAAATCTTAATAAAACGTGCGGTTAATAAAGATAAAAACGAAATCCACATACACTGACCACCCTGTACTAACTATGCAGTGACACACGCCCAACTGTGTATCGTTAATATCAGATATGTTCGAAGGCGATAGCATAGTGGCATCATTTTTTTTTTCGCGAGACTAGCCACAAAAACTATATATATCTAACAAGATATGGAACTATTTACTTACTATTTGGGGAGTGATTTTGTGATGTATGTCCATATCACCAACTGCCACATTGAAATCACCCGAATTACTCAGTACAGCTGAATATGTGGCYGTGTGACAAGTATTGAAAGTATGAATTCCTCCTGTTGCCTTCATTAACAAAACAAATGTTAAAATTTATTGGTGTGATTAAAGTCAGGGGGGTCATTGAACATTTACCATATTGGATTCTTGACAATGTTTTAACATCATTGCTCCCAGTGCATCCCCACCAACAGCAGAAATAAATATTGGCTTCTTTCCAAGACGAGATAGAGCCTCTACAACATSAACATGAGGCATCAGAATCATRCAAAGTAGTACCCTTCCTCAGCTGACCAACAAGCACACATCCCCTCACTACCTGCTATATTTCTGCCAACTCCACCAAAACTGATCTGCACCTTTCCAGGATTCGAAGCCTCAGGCTAAAAATACAGAAAAACAACACCAGGGTTAGTTTTAAAAGGCAGGACTTTCCCATCATGATTGACATGATGTCTGGCAAAGTCARTGGGACCTTCTGGTTAACAGAGCTAGTAACCCAATGAASTAGTGATCATATTGTGTACTTACAATAATAGTTTCTGCTGTAGCAACAAAATCTACATTTGATCCACCAATGACAACCTGCAATAAATACAATTCATTTATTGACAATCCTAATTAAACAATTTTAACTATTTAAAAATAGTCAATCATTAATCAGTTCGTCAAATATTCTCACGGGTCGCCCAGTAGAGGTTTTTTTCTTTGATAGAGATTTTTCATCTTCCTTGAATGATACACTTTTATTTAGGCTTTCTTGCTGTATTTTCTTTTTTCTTTTTTCATGTATTTTAGCCAGCTCTACTGCAATTTGACTTCCTATTCTAGCATTATGCTTAATCAAAAGAATGTCTGTTTATGTCCTGTCAAGGAAAATGTTTCAGCCATATTCACATTTCATTGAAAACAAACTGAGTTAGTTAATAGGTAAGGATACTAGCTTCCAGAGACTTTCCATCTGTAAGTTCATTAACTCTTTTAAGGACATATGGGGTCACCTCTTTTCCAAGAACATTGGATGACCTAATGTCATGAAAGTTTTCATTGAATGATTTAATGAGGATATCAAATGACTAATATCGCTACCTTGCATCTTCTAAGGCTTGTTGAATAGTTCTTTCAATGCTAGATCCTAACAGTGCTTCAGTATCAGGTACAGGAACAGCAATCACCATGCCATTCTGTAGCCCAAGTGATAAACTACTGTCTGAATAAAACAATAACAAGTTAAAATAAATACCATGTACATTTGTTGGCAAAACCTTTGACTAAAATGAAAAAWGGAATGAGATTTTAACTTGGTTTTAATACTAATATATCGAGCAAGGTACCACAATAGTCATGCTACAGAAGTCTTATGAATACTCAATGAAGACGTAGTTGGTTGGAAAGCCTAGAAAGCTTATGGAATGGAAGAGATAAATTTACTTTGCTACCCCACTCACTTTTAACAATAAAACTATACTAAGTGTCACCCCTTGTTTACAGAGTTAAAAAAAGGTATGGTGGCAATATGTAAGTTTGTGTCCATTCAAAGTTCAGATACTCACCAATAAGTTTGGCTGCTTCCAAAGGATTCTTCACTGAGCAGCAAGACTTGATTTGGAAGAAAAAATACAAGATCTTCAAATAATTCTAATATATTGCATAATGACCAATAACTCTAGGTACCTTATAACCACTTTTAGCTGTAAAGAATGCTGGRAAATCATTGCTTGGACCATATGTTGCAACAGTTACTCCTTGTGTTTCCTTTAAAGAAACCAAAATAATATAATTGACTATCATTGCCATGACACACCTAGTCATCATCAGCATATCACTATCATTTCCAGTAAATCATACCAGATATTCCAAGGTCAGTCCAATATCAAGGATAGATTTTACTCCTGCACATACTACTGCTACAGGTGTCTTGCCTAGTTCAGTCAAATCAGCACTGATATCAAATGCTACAAAATAATAAATTAACATTTCTATGCACATCAATAGAAAATTCTTATCAAATCAATGTTACTTGTTTGTGCTTCTCTGTGAACTCCTCCAATTCCACCAGTAACAAAAACCTTGATGCCAGCTTTATTTGCTGCAATCATGGTAGCAGACACTGTAGTTCCACCAGACAATCCCTGATGTGTGCAAAATAATGATTCTTTTAGAGATTGTACGAAGAATTTTCTTTATACATATAAATAAATATGCAATGGATTATGTGAAATAATGTAACATTATATACCTGACTTAGAATATATGGTAGATCTCGTCTTGACGTTTTGATGGAGAGGCTGTCAGGATGCGCTAGACCTTCTAGTTCCCTATCTGAAATACCTAAATGTAATGACGGTACATTGAAATTAACTATATTATAATACCTACATTAGTTTTTAATGAATGTAAATAAATTACCAACATGGACACAGCCATCAAGGACAGCAACTGTTGCTGGAATTGCACCATTCTCTCGAATGATCTTTGACACTTTCTTGGCAACACTAAGAGATGATAGGCATCGTTAAGAATGTGGGTTATTGATAAAATAAATGTTACTAGTATTATATTCTAATCTCATCWACAAGACAAAGATATTAATAACTACACACCTGAGGTTTTGTGGGTATGGCATACCATGAGTCACTATKGTTGACTCTAAAGCAACTACTGGTTTATTAGTTGCAACTGCATCTGCAACCTCTGSGGCAATTTGCAACAATGAACTATTCTGTTTGTGTTTTTGGTGTACTGGCCCAGTACCAAGAGGACTGTGCTCAAGAGYACTAAAGMTTCGGCACTGCATAAGAACATGTCTTGAATATGGAACAATGTTGTACAGCTTCTTGATATGCATCAGAAGACTGAAAAGTGATGACCCTTCAAGACATAATATATTATAACAATTATTACTTTTAATAATAAACTTTCATTTTTATAGCTGTAAGAAAAAAGAACATTTCCAAAGTATTAGCATAATGAATTAGTATTGGTGAGCCATACCCAATTAATAATGGTATATACTTACTAGTAATAACAAACAAGCGTGTTTAGAGACGAAACTTATCAAAATAATGGTACAAAGACTACAAAACCGGTGAGTATACTTACTATATATAACTCTTCATTTATATTTCGCTAAAAATCATAATTTCATAAAAATCAACTCAAAATCCATTTTTCTGCTTTCGAACCTCATGCAGGTCACGTAGCAATCCCGACAAGGTCAGATTTTCCCCGAACAGTTATCGATCGATTCGAGAGTAATTATGGGATATATGACCACGTGTTCTTCCTCTTTCTTTCAAGCTTCGCCTTCGGTGAGTTTGTGTGTCGAATCTCCTACAAAATACCGTCATTTCGATGTTTTAGCTGGATTTTTTGGGGATCAAASCGTAAAAAAACGAAATWTTAGGCATCGTTTATGTTTGTAATATGAAAGAAAACTTGAATTAAAGCACATTTATGCTATTTTTGGCGGATGAAAAAATGTTTGAATGTAGTCGTTGT